TAAATAATAATGCTCGAAAATTTAAGTTTTAATAAATAATTGATAATAACTTCAATTCTTCTTGGGGAGGTCATTTGTAAATTAGACAACATTACAAGGAACAATAATATCAAAAACTTGAGTAACATTAACTTGACAAATAAATAGCTCCTTTAGATTTTTCTCCATTTTTTACAATTTCAGTTTCTTCCATCAAGTTCCATATCCAACTTGACTTCTTAGGACCACCATTTACCGCATCAGAAAACTCCTCCCTTCTCATTATTGTATTATTACTTTCTCTTATTATAGTGACTGAAGGCTCTTCTCAATAAGAAAAATTTTATTTCAATTCAGTTACACAATATATTGATTAGTTATTTATTATCAATCAATGAAAAAATCAAATATCCGATTAACCAAATACTCACTGAATACTCACCGAATATTATTCATCGGGTGCAACCTCCTCTAATTCTTTTTGATTATTTAGTACAAATCATTGCTTTTCAATGAACATCAACAATGGTTCGATACATTATTTTATATTGACTGATGTTGATTTTCATTTATGGCTGTCATTTTGAGATTGAAACTTTCAAAGAATTATTCAAAAATTTATTAAAAATGATGAGTGTTTACAATAAATGTTTTGAATAAGTATTTATGCCATTTTGAAATCTTTGTGTTGTTATTTTGTGTTTTCATTCCAATGTAAATTGTAACTCCTTTATTCACTTTTTGGAGGGTTGCCACGAATTAATAAAAAATTGATTTTACCCAAATTTGGCAAATGTAAATAAAAAAAAAAACTAAAAATTCCAACTACTGATTTTTATTAAACAACACTAGAGTCTCCATAATCAATGGCTAAAATTTTTTTATCTCAAATATTGAATGAGTTATGCAAGGATCAATTCTATATATAAAATTGAAAATGAGCGAGATCAAATAAATTCGTGTAACGACGCGGGTTTTACGGTTTTAATTAAATATGCCATTAACAAAAGGACAAATTGCTCAAAGAAAAAATTCTGCAAGTTGACCTAGAAATTTATCTATAGGTTGATTTGAAAAATGATAAATCATCAGATTCTTCTGACTTGGATTTTATTTTATAAGATGAAATTTATTCTTCAGATTCTAATATTGATATTAGTTATTCTTTCAATAAAAGAAACTAATTTTTGAATTATAATATTTAAATTAAGAAAGATCTGTGGCTAGTGTTCCTATTCGTATCTCTAACTCCATATTCGAATATTCTAATTCGTAATTTTATGGAAATGATATTCGATTCTTATTCGAATATCCATAATAATAATAATAATAATAATAATAATAATTTCGAATATTCGTAATAGTAACACTTTCAAATACTTTCAAATTAATACAGATGTTAT